GGCCTCAGGGTAGGAGGATATGCAAATGAGGATTATTGTCTGGTAATTAGTGTTTAATGTCTGCTGGGAAAGCCCCCGACCCTGGGTGGTTTCCCATTTGCATTTGCTGAGTGCTGCTTTTCCAATTTTGCAGGACTGGTAGCCAAACTTTGTTTACAAACAGATGCTGGCGAAACATCTGAAACTCTTCTAGAACATTGCCACACAGCCCAAAAAACCCACAAAAAACTCTGAGATGGGCTTTCTTCCTCTGAAACATAGCCTACAGTTCCTGGTATTTGTTGAGGGTTTCCTATCCAAGTATCAACCAGGGGCAATCCTACTTAGCTTCCAAGATGAGATGGAATCTGGTGTTTTTAAGTAGCTCCCTAAATTATGTAGACTGGTTAACCTGCACTAAATCGTTTTTTGCATAAAAGCCTGAACTGCTTCTTCTAGCTTTCATGAATGGGACAAAATAGTACCTAAGTGCCCTTTTGCATCTTTTGTTATGCTTAAAACAAATGGATTACAATTTTTGTTAAATTTGTTGTTCATTTTTTCCCCTTTGAGTTTAAAAGGTAGCAAATTTGGTTCTCTTCCCAAATTTATGCTCACGAGAACCCTGTGAGGTAAGACTGGTAGAGAATGACTGTCAACCAGTAAATTTCACAGCTTAGTTGGGGCTATAATTCAGATCTCACAAGTCCCATTCCAACACTCCTAACAAATATTTATGCACATAAAGGAGACACTGGAACAATCTATTGTTTTTACAATATAGTAGTTGATCTTTTAAGAAAGTGTTAGTGCTGAAGATCTCAAACTTCTGTGCCTACTTGTGGCTGATTTCTCTATTTTCCTAGGCCTTACAACGAGCCAGTCAGATTATTGCTGAGATTCGAGAGACGCACCTTTGGTGAAGGCTTCTCCACTTGAAGAAATTGATGACTTTAAAATTGCTAGGCATTATATACTCATGAACTCCTAAGTGTACTGCAGTATGTATAAATCTGCTCATGTAAAAGACATTTGGTTTGGCTTTCTACAGACAGAAGTATGCTGTATTTTGCAAAATGAGTCATATTTAATCACCGTGTTCCCTGCCAGTTTCTTGGTGCAAAGGACAAGTCTGTTCTCCTATAAGGAACTGGATTGAATTAAAATGGGGGAAAGAACCATGTAAAATTCTAGTGCCTGGCTTGCTAAATGAGTTGCCTGTGGATAGGATGAATAATGTTGTATTGTGATGTAGCTTTTCCAGCTGCTTTTGCAAGATAGGTTTTCACCCACGAAGAAAGGACACATTATTTTCTTTATTATAAATTAAACTGCATGCATTCAGATCTCACACAGATAAATGGCAAAGTAGAAATACTGCCTTATAATTTGTGTAATGTGTGGCCTCATGTTTTAGGACTTTAAGGAAATATTTGGCTAACTTCCAAGCTGCATTGGTGGATTTTACTTTAGATAAAATATAGACTAATTTAAAAATAGGTATTCTGCTAAGAGGCAATGTCATCCAGGAAGCAATCAGACTTCTCAATTACCTCTGACTCCCCATCACTTTCTGGCTAGGGACTGGACCAAGAGCCTGGGACCATCCACTTAACTTTCAAATTAAAAAAGAAGGAGCATTAAAAATCATAGAGGTCATGTTTTTCTTAAATAAATGTGGAAAATAAACAGATAAGGATAAACTGCCTTGAGATGATGGGAGTTGCAGTCCAGTAACATTTGCAAGAACAAACAAAATAAACATACTATAGAATCTTTACACAACACTTAAGCAAAGGAAGCTGTCTATCAGATTAATTTATAGTTTTGTAGTCCATATTATGCTGTCACTTTTTTTGTACACAACACGATAAATGTAACTTATTTGTTTGATAAAATGCACATTGGTTCCTGAAGGTTTTATAATTTTGACCTGCATCAAGTTGTGTAAAAAATGCACATAAGCTCATTTTGACCTGTTTACAAGTCACAGTGCCCACGCTCAACTTCTGTGCTTATGGGAAAAAACTTCGGGCTTCATACATGTGGTACATGTTTTTATCCACTCAACCTTTATGCAATATGCTAAAAAGAAAAATTGATGTTCTGAAATACTTAAAGACAAAATTGATTGTTCTTTATTTTAATGAGAATATGTACTAACAGGTTGAAGAACTGAACTGTATTTTTTGCTCTTAAATGTATTTCTGCAGTTGAATCCACACCAAAAATTCATACCCAGAATCATTTTAATCTTGCGACAATAAAATTCTGCTTGAGGGTCACATTTTGGAAATTTTGTTGGGGCAAGATCAATACTAAACTCAGTATACCATCTATCTGAGTTCCTCTCATGGAATCTAGTAAACCTGTATTAGCATCTGACAATTTAGAATAATATCTTCACATTATGTATAACTCTCCTGATATCTTGCCTTACCTCCCCCTTTGAATAATACTCAGGTTGAGTATACATAGAGTGGAAAAGAAAAGTTTATCTTATTTGTGAAATGGTTATTTTCCAGCAGATGTTTTTGCCTATCCTGCTTTCTCCTTTGGGCGTAATACTACAGACTAGGGATGTGGCTTTGCAGGACACCAACTTCCTTAGTCAATCTACAAAGTTGGCAGGAGAC